AAGCTGATGCCATGTTGATGCCATGAGACTGCGAAGCTGAGGCCACGATGATTGCCACAAAATAGCGAGGCGAACACAGCTTCAATTTTCAATGACGCGAAGCTGATGCCACAATGATGCGATGCTGAGGCGACAATGAAGCCATGCGTAGGCGACAATGATGCCACAAAAGCCAAAGCTTCCGCGAGAACTGTACTGTAAGTACAAATGAAATGCATTTATCTGTGTGAGAAAAGTACATGAAGGCTATGTCTGTAACAAATGTTCTCAACATTTTCAGCTCATATATGACAAATACATGTATGCAGCTTTCTTATACCATATATAGCTATATCAAACTTACCACATGATGGTGATGAACACACCGGTTTTAATTGACTGCAATTCTTTCCTTGATAGTTTTCTGTACATGCACAATAATAGTCACCAGATACAACATAACAACTGGCACCATTCATACAAGGATTTGGGTCACAAAAGTTGATGTCAATCTGTAAAAGTCACATTGGTGTATTTTTAGTACCAATAACTCTCTATTAAACTTATGAATAGAGGAGTTTCATGCTCCCTGGTTATTTACCAGGTGCGCAAGGGGGGGGGGGGTCACTCAAAGTTGATTCACTTCAATTCAGTTGATTCAAGTCAGCGAGAATATACAGTGTACATATTTCACTACATGATTACGTATTTTAGGCATCCAAATTAATTTTGAATGTTTAAACAATTGTAATATACAGAATATTACTTGTAAGATACCTCAATGAGACAACAGTCAAACATGACAACTTGCAAAATACTAAGACAAACAGTCCCATGAATGATTGGTTGAAACTGAGCTCACAAAAAACCGTAAACTCGTCTAACAGGCAGTTAATGAGATGAAAACATAGAAGCAGCAAATGTGAGAGATTAGATCACCAGGAAATGGTATACATACCTGGCACTGATGACCTGAGTAACCTCTAGGGCAAATACAATAATAACTATTAACTCGATCTTCACACATTGCACCATTATGACAAGGATTGCTTGCACACTCATTCACATTAATCTCGCAATCTGTACCAGTAAATCCAGCTAAACAAGCACATAGGTAGTCGTTCACAAGGTCCTAATAATAACAAGCCATGTATATAGATATATAGTTTTGTCTATAGTAATATAGCTGGAATATAACCATGTCAGGAATATTATTATGATTTTTTAACATTAATATGATTGACATTTGTATCTGATCGTCAAACAAGTACTTGTCCATATTGGGAGTTATTGCTCTGGAACAGCATTAATTAAAACAAAATCAGCCATTATGAATACATGTATATATCTATAACATGATGTATAATGAATATATAAAATTTGAACATAATCAGTCTAATGTATGTTATAAGTTTGAATGAAATCCAACCAGAAATGCTTGATATATAATGATTTTTTTAGCACAAAAATGGCCACCAATCGGCTACTTTGAATTGGATCTTCAAAACAATATATCTGTATATCTATGACATATCGTAATATATATGGTCAGAAATTAAACAGGATATGCCGTTCATTGGTTTTTTGTATCCAAACAAAATTTCCTTTGTCCAGGCTCATGTACAGAGATATGAAACACAAAACAAAACATCATGGACATGTATCTCAACATGTATAATGTTTGTATCAACTTTGAAAACCAATAAATCCTGTCCAAGATACCCCATTTTCAAAAAACCAAGATGAATGACCACCAGTTGATCATCTTTGATTTGATTATGAAACAAACTGACATGGACATGCATTCCAACATGTATGATGTATGTGCCAAATATGAAAGAAAATGTCTATGAGCCTTAGATGTAGTAGTATGGTCGAAAGGCAAGATGGCTGCCAGTCTGCCATCTATGATCTGATTGTAAAACAAGCAGCCAGTCGGCTGAGATAACTCCGCTGTTAGCAATGTACATTTCAATAAAAGAACAGAAGATATCATTAGAAAATGAACAATATGTATAGTATCAAAGCAATGGGACTTGCTGTTTTCAACAAGAATTCAAAAATATCACTTTTTACCAAAAATGACAAAAATATTAAGCAAAATTAGAGAATTGAAGATATCATCATGAAATGAATAAATCTGTAAGTGGTCCACATGTAGTACCTATATATGTAACATCAAAGCAATTGGACTTACGGTTTTTAACAAGAAGTCGAAAATATCACTTTTTACCAAAAATGCCAAAAATTTTCACCAAAATTAGAGAATTAAAGATATCATTACAAAATGAAAAAATCTGAGAGAGGTCCACATGTAGTACCTATATATGTAATATCAAAGTAATTGGACTTGCGGTTTTTAATAAGAAGTTGAAAATATCACTTTTTAGCAAAAATGAAAAAAATATTCACCAAAATTAGAGAATTGAAGATATCATCATGAAATGAACAAATCTGAGAGAGGTCTACCCAAGGTACATATACACCAAGTATCAAAGCATTCAGGCTTGTTGTTTTCAAGAAGAAGTCGAATCAAAGAAAGCTTAGAAAGAACTCCCGTGTGCTGAGAGTATTGGAGACACATTAAAAATTAATTCAAAATTACTTGAACTTGAGATGTTGATGGAAACGCAGAAAATTAATTATACAAATAAGGTAACGAACAGATTTAAGTGTAAAACTAATAAAGGTCTGCACAATGTACCAAGTTTCATTGAAATGTGATTAGAACCAAAAAAATATTAATTATTATGCTAATTAGAGAATTAATATG